GGAAGGGATCTCTTTTCCATTATTTTTTCTGCCTATGAAGTAGTATGTGCTCTGTGTGTGAATAAATTAATGTGTATAAACACATTATATATAAAGACTGACATGGCACCATATCAGTTGGGAGAAGTGTATAAGATACTGTTTTATCACTGATCCCTCTTTTAAATATTTAGATCCAGGACTTTTCAGTAGAACATTAGACTTTCTTCACTTGGAATTTAATTGTTGCTCAAAGAAGGACTTTAATTAATTCCATTAATATGCCTGTCATGGCATAAATTTGCTTTAGTGACACTCTCCTTAGAATACTATTAAAGTGTACTTTACTTTGATGAATCCATGCATAACAAGCACAATAATTCCTTTCTCCGTATAGCTAATAGTATGGTGCAAAGCATGGCCTTACTTCATATTAAATAATAGCTGCTGTTCGGGATTTCACCAAAAGCAATTGAAACTATTAGTAAACTGTTGAAATAAACATCCATTGATATCTTTTAAAATAGAATATTCTATAATGCTTATGTTTTTCAGAAGTTCCATTAGTCTAAATTATGTGTGTTATTTTGCAGCAGTGGTCAGCACCTGTAACCCACCCACCCCCCACCCAACCCCCACCCCCGATTTGCCTACAATCCCATCAGATAGTCATAGCCATCATGAGAGATAATTGGAGGTCTACTATAACAACATTTGAAGGACCACAGTCACCTGATTTAAGAGTATATTCAATATTTCAAGACAGAGTAAGCTTTAATAACAAATTGTTAAATTTTTGAAGTAGAAACTACCCTGAAAAGGAAACCTGTAGTGAATGATATGTTGCAAATTTGAGGTATGTTACTATTCATCCAAATACTATTTTCTGAAAATACTATTTTTCTGAAACATCTATTTCTGCTTTCTCCATTATCCAGAGGATATTGGCAATCTGGTCTCTCGTTCCTCTGCCTTTTCGAAACCCAGCTTGTACATCTGGCAACTCTCTCTCCATGTAATACTGGAGTCTTCCTTGTGGGATCTTGAGCATTATCTTACTAGCATGAGAAATAAGAGCCACTGTATGAACGTTTGAGCATTCTTTAGCATTTCCCTTTTTTGGTTTAGGAATATAAGTTGATTTTTTCCAGTCTGATGGCCATTCTTGTGTTTTTCATATTTGCTGGCATATGGCATGCATCACCTTGACAGCATCATTTTTCAATATTTTGAACAGTTTGGCTGGGATCCCGTCATCTCCTGCTGCCTTGTTGTTAGCAATGCTTCTTAAGGCCCAGTCAGCCTCACTCCTCAGGATATCTGGTTCTAATTCACTCACCACACTGTCAAAACTATCCTCAATACTATTATTCTTCCTATACAATAACTGGTATAAATAAATACTAGGCATGTGCACAAAATTCGTTCAGTACTATTCGTTCAATACTATTATTCTTCCTATACAATAACTGGTATAAATAAATACTAGGCATGTGCATGAAATTCGTTCCTACCATTTCTACCATTTCTTTCATGTCTTCCATTTCTTTGGAAGCACGAAACCGGAAGCCCCCTCCCCACACGAAAATCGTCTTGACACTATAGCCTGCTTTTGTGTATATCCGAACTTGCCTCCTTGCCTTGGAAAGAGAGTTCGTGTGTGGTAGGGTGTGCAGGCAGGCAGGCCCAGAGCTCAGCTACAGGTGCACTCTGGGCCTGCCTGCACTCCCTGCCACACATGCACTCTTTTTCCAATGACAATGCGTGTGTGGCGTGGCATGCAGGCAAGCCCAGAAAGCGTGCGTGCTTGCCAATGCCTACAGCTGAGCGCCTCTTACTCTAGAGTAGAAGCAGCAGGTGCCAAGTGAGAAGAACACACGCTGGTAAGGGGAGCCACTGGTTGGGAAGTGCCCCCCCTCCCATAATGGTCCAATTTTTGGGCCCTGAAACTAAAGAACCGAAAACAAACCTCCCAATTTTGGGAGGCTCAAAAAAAACAGATTGAGGCCCCCAATGAAAGCCAGAATACGAAACGGAGCAAGGTACCCTGAGTGCACATATCTAATAAATACTGCTTATTTACAGTACACCTGGTGCCTATGCTCTACTAATAACAATACTGAAATTGGTTACCATACTTAAATTTGGTATTGTACTACCATTTTCACTGTGAATGAAATCAGATATATTTAATGTACACTTCATCCAAGAAATGCTTTGCAGATATGGAAATATTAGAATTGGAAAAAATGCACCACATGGCTCTATAGTTTGGTAAACTAATATGTGTGATTTCTCTGGAAAGGTAGTAGGGTGTGGGGAGAAAGATCTTTCTGAAGTCAATTCAGAGCAAACAAACTGAATTTGCAAGATTGGAAAAGATGAGGGACTATTCCAAGGCAGCAGTTGTAAGGGGCTTCGTAATCCATATGGGAAAAGATGTTAGGTTGGAGGAAGGCAACTTTAAAAGGGCAGAAAGAGCCTTTTTGAAAGCCAGTAAGAAAACATGCTCCCATAAGGTCAAGAGTGATAACGTTTGTAAATCCTGTGGTGTGACCCAGGATTTACTAATGTCCCAGTCAACAAGTTAATCACCATAATGATAACTAATTAAATTATTCCAACTATTGGTGTTCAGGATGATAAGTTATTTTTCTGTTTTCTAACAGTTAACATTATTGAATTAATTTGCAAAAAAGTGTTGCAAGCTCTGTAAAAGCCTCATAGGATTAACCCAAATCTGTCTCCATAGCCGTCTCTTGATGTGCTACTGATCAACAAAGTGTTCAAACTAGAAGTGGCTTTACTATGTTTACATTAGTATTCCTTTTAAATGCAGTCAATTCACGTAATATGATTTGCTAGACTCTGTATTTGATGTAGATTTTCAAAAGATTATGTCCTAAATCCATTGGCTAGTCCCAAGTAGAGTGAATCCATTGAATCAGATGTTGGTTGTAAATCCCACTAAATCAGGGAGTTGGGCTTTTAAAACTGGAATGGATTTAGCAGTTGGATTAAGGCCTCTGAAACTGAATTTTACTTTTATTTGGTTCTTTGTAACTTGCATCTCAGAACTTGTTCTACTATAAACAAAAATATTTTCCTTGGGAAAATAAACACAGCATATTCCAGCTGTGATTGGGGTGTTATTAAAGCTGGAAGGCATTATCAGTTATCAAATAGTTTCTTTTTATGTCTTTCTTTCTCAGTAGGAATAAAGTTTTATGTATCTCTAATTGAAACTTACTGAAATGAGAAATCAGGCAGGCATTCTGTTTTAAGATCTATGAGTTTGTAAGCCAGACATAGGATCACTCAACTTTGGGAATGTATGTTATGTTATATTATATTCCATGTTTACACTATCAGCGATTGAATGTTCCCTCAACTGAAGACTTTCTGGAGCACTTCATATTGGGGCATTGGGAAGTAGTGACAGGAGTTACAGAATATACTGAGAGGAGGAGCTGCAACAATGCAATGTGGCGGCTACAAAAGCCAATGGGATTTTGGCCTGCATAAATAGGAGTATAGTGTCCAGTGGAGTCATGCTACCCCTCTATTCTGCCTTGGTCAGACCACACCTGGACTGCTGTACCCAATTCTGGGCACTGCAATTGAAGGGAGATGTTGACAAGCTGGAATGTGTCCAGAGGAGGACAACTACAATGATCAAGATCTGGAGAACAGCTTAAAGACTGGGCATGTTTAGCTTGAAGAAGAGAAGGCTGAGAAGAAGCATGATGGCCATGTATAAATACAGTATGTGAGGGGAAGTCATAGGGAGGAAGGGGCAAGTTTGTTTTCTGCTGCCCTGAAGACTAGGACGCAGAAGAATAGCTTCAAACTACAGGAAAGGAGGTCCACCTGAACATTAGGGAGAACTTCCTAACTGTGAGAGCTCTTCAGCACTGGAACTCTATGCTCTGGAGTGTGGTGGAGGCTCCTTTGGAGGCTTTTAAACAGAGGCTGGATGGCCATCTGTCAAGGATGCTTTGAATGGACTGGATGGCCCACAAGTTCCTTTCCTACTCTCTGATTCTATAAGACCCCAAGTGGTCTCTCCAGATGGTCCCTCATGTGTCTACTTGTGCAAGATCTTGTATGAAACCTTAACAATGACTCTTTGCACAGTTGTGTGACTATGTTCCAGTTGGTCATGATAAGGTCATTGGCATTTGCTTGAAGGTGTGTGCCCACAGAACAGATGGTAGCATATGCTTTTACTTTCCTATGACAGTCTTTTTGGGGTCCTGCTGCTTCTGGAAGAGGAGCAGCTGATAGAAATTGGAGCTGAGAAGCCCTTCTGTCTGCATTGAACATAGCAACATGGGCATGGTCCTCTCCTCTTTCCTCCCTCACAAGTAGCCAGGTGTTATATCAAATAGCAGGAGAATGGCTCAGTTCCTTATATTATTCATAATGCTTCGATGAATCAGTTGAAAAAAGATTTTGTTACTGGGAAAACACAAACAGAAAACAATTGTTGATGCATACTGTGTTATCTGCTAGATGAAACGGGTCTTCATATCCATTTTGATAGCTCCCATATATCTGCAGGTGGCAGGCTCCAAGGAAGACATCCTTTTTTGTGAGGGAATGCTGAGATCTTAGAAGTGAAAATACATAGTTTCTACCTGCTGCAAGTGAACTGTGTAATGATGAGATACAGATTTGAGGTGAGAACTAGTAGATGAGGGAATTGGTAGGTTATGTGGGCTCTGAATTTTTATGAGAAACAAGAGGTAGCAGAACACCCTGAAGAGATTCCAAATCAAATGGAAAAGATTCACTTTTGTTTCATTTGTTTTGATCGACTTTTCAAATTATGCAACACGGTGCAAGTGAGTTCTCTTAAAAAGTTTTTCTCGGTGTTTGCTGACAGTAAAAAAAAATCATTATGTGCCTGAATCTTTATCTGTAATGTTCTTGTATCTACAACTCATAACTTTACAAAATGTATCAGAACAATCTATTAAAGTTCTAATATTGCTTCCTTTTTTAATATAATGCTCTAGTTTATAGTGGAGTGTCATGGCAACACACTACTACCGCAGTTTTTGGGCATGTACCGACTTACCGTTGATGGAGTTGAAGTATACATGATTGTCACAAGAAATGTATTCAGCCATCGTTTGTCTGTTTATAGAAAATATGACTTAAAGGTGAGCAACATCTACAGTTTATGGACACTCAAATAACTGTTTTAATTGATTTTTAAAATGGTAAAACATTATGTTGAATTCTTTGCATGCCAAAATGTAGCTATTACAGCATGTTAGAGAGAAGAAGAAGAAACCCTAACCAAACAATTTTGCTAAGTTGTAATAACTAAAATAGAATTCGTGCCTTATCTAATTCAAAACCTTTTAGAGAAAGACATGGTAATTTGAGTGGTATTGTGTGTCATAAAGGAAGTGGTTTAGCAGTATGTTAGCTAAAAGTAGATAAGTGCTAATGGTTATAGTCAAAGCCTTTTGAGAGTGAAGAAAAAATAGAGGAAGCTCTCATGCATTTTGCAGATTGCTAGAACTTTTCCTGCATGCAGATTTTGTAGTCATGAGTAGATTAATGTTAAAGGCTTATGTTAGGGTCTTGTATCACTTTGACCAAGGCTAACTTAGTTAATGTTAGCTAGAAAACCCATAGTAAGCAATTTCTGTGTATGTTACTCCTTACTAGTCTAACTCCTTTCCACATACATAATACTGATTATAATGCAATATTATTATAGCCCCTGGTCGCTCAATGGGTTAAACCCTTGTGCCGGCAGGACTGAAAACGGACAGATCAGAGGTTCAAATCCAGGGAGAACGCGTGGATGAGCTCCCTCTGTCAGGTCCAGCTCCCTATGCAGGGACATGAGAGAAGCATCTCACAAGGATGGTAAAACATAAAAACGCTCAGGCGTCCCCTGGGCAGTGTCCTTTGGGACGACCAATTCTCTCTCACCAGAAGATTTGCAGTTTCTCCAGTTACTCCTGACATGAAAAAAAAATATTCATGGACATGAACATTCATGGACAATAATACATAATGTAACACTGAAAAATTTATCATACATTTCATTGAATTTAGGTTTTTTTATCATGTCAGAAGTGACTTGAGAAACTGCAAATCGCTTCTGGAGTGAGAGAATTGGCCGTCTGCAAGGACGTTGCCCAGGTGATGCCTGGATGTGTTACCATGCTGTGGAAGGCTTCTCTGATGTCCCCTCATGAGAAGCTGGAGCTGACAGACAGGAGCTCACCCCATCTCTCAGAATCGAACTGCTGACCTTCAGGTCAGCAGTTCAACCGGCACAAGAGTTTAACCCATTGTGCCACCGTGGCATTTAGTGTAAAGGGGTGGAAGTCATACTTGATAGCAGTGTTTTATAGCTAGGGATCTATTTACTGTATTTGTATTCTGTCTTATCAAAATCTCTTCAAGATGATTCACCTCTCAAAAATATTAAAACATCAAGGCAAAGTAACAAATGAAACCAGCATGATAAAATAGCAGATTATTAAAACAAAAGCCATAGCAGATATTTTTAATGCTAGAGATACTGTAGACATAAAAATAACAAACTGAATGGAAATCCTGGGCAAATACAGCTGTCTTATTTGATGACTAAATGCAAGAGTATATTTCAGACAAGAACTTAAGGAAAGAGCACAAAGTCAGATCATTACTTGGAGGATTTGAGGGTTTTTTAAAAATGCCCCCATCTCACAGGATGAAAAGCAGATTAGTATGGAAGCAAATAGTCCAAAAGCAGATTCTGCTTTGTATTGTGTCCAAAAGTGCGTGGAAAACCAGTGAAGCTGTTTTAAAACCACTAAGACCTTATCTACACTGACTGCTTAATGCAGTTTCAAGCTGGTATTGACCAAATCGGTTTCATTGTTCACAGGATTACAAAGGAAATCCTGAAATGAGTTTGAGGCCAGGATAGTGATTTTTGTGTGTGTGTGTGTGTCAAGGAGTGACTTTAGAAATTTCAAGTTGAGGACCACCGACCTGTTGACTGACCAGTCAGCAGTTCGAATCCGGGGAAAGTAGGTGAGCACAGATGCACCTTAAAGGCATTCTTCTTAATATTCATGGAGCCCCCAGTAGCGCAATGCCTTAAATCCTTGTACCAGCAGGATTCAAACCGCCGGCAAGTCGGCGGTTTGAATCCAGGGAAAGCAGGTGAGCGCAGATTCCCCTTAAAGGCATTCTTCATAATATTCATGGAGTGGCTTAAACCCTTGTGCCAGCAGGACACATCGCCAATTCAAATCCAGGGTGAGCTCCCTCTGTCAGCTCAAGCTCCCCATGTGGGGACATGAGAGAAGCCTCCCATAGGATGGTAAAACCTTCAGGCACCCCCTGGGCAATGTCCTTGCAGACAGTCAATTCTTTCACACCAGAAGCGACTTGCAGTTTCTCAAGTCGCTCCTGACATGAAAAAAATATATATATTCATAATTTGGTCTTCTTAGATTGCTTTCTGAAACTCCTGAAATTTGTTTTTTTATGAAAATAGTCCAGCACAACCTTATTTTGCTTAGTGGATACTACTCTGAATTCCAAACTTTTTTTTTTTTGGAATTCAAAGTTTCCAAAATTTTCTGATATGCCATGGAGAGAACTCATTCAAACCACCCCCTTCTCCCACTGCAGCCAAGCTGTTTGGATTCTAGGCAACACCACTAATAAATAATCTACTTTGCATCTCTGTATAATCTTGCTAATTATCACTAGATTGATTACTGTGCTGTAATTATAATATATAGGGACAGCACGGTTTTGATGGCAGCTTTCCTTACAGATTGCGTTTTACATTATTAGCTAAGATTTCTCCAGAGATTTATAGTACAATTAAAGATGGTAATAGTAGGACAATGAGAATCTAAACCTCCGTAGAGAAAGTGCCCTTCTGTGACTTTTGGTTCATTGAGCTGCTGCCGAGATGTTTTAATGAAGTGTTTTTGATATACTAACAGTCTACCACTGTTATGACAGAATATTTGAATGTTATGATTTTTCTTGTATGGTGTAGTGTGCTCCCAAGTTTGCATAATTTTATGTTACGTTTGTGGGGAAAACCTTACCACGAACAGAATGAAATAATTCTACAGTAAATAACACCTGTGTCCTTAAGCCTTATTCCCAGTGGCATTTCTAATACAAATATCTGTTTCAGGGCTCTACGGTAGCGAGAGAAGCCAGCGACAAAGAAAAGGTACTGCAGGATTATATTTATGTGTTGCTCAGAAACCTAAATTGTTTTTTTAAATAGTAAATTTGTGGTTTTGTCTTCAGTCAAAATCTTGATAGATATTGCAGAGGTTTACATTATGCCCATGAATCAGGGAGTAAGCTGCTTCATTGAACTCAGGACGAAATGTAAAGATGCAAGATGGTAGATCTCAGCTTGTGTGACTATATTTCAATCTGTTTTACTCATTTTGTATTTTTAATATTTCATAAGGTCCCCCAGGCATTTATTAATGGGCAAGGTATACATTGAATGTATAGATAAGGTAAAGGTTTCCCCTTGATATTAAGTCTAGTCGAGTCAGACTCTTAGGGGTGGTGCTCATCTCAACTTGTAAGCCGTAGAGCCGGCATTGTCCGTAGACGCCTCCAATGTCATGCAACCACCATGACTCCATGGAGTGCCGTTACCTTCCCACAGAAGCAGTACCTGTTGATCTACTTGCATTTGCATGTTTTCAAACTTCTAGGTTGGCAGAAACTAGGCCTAACAGTGGGAGCTCACCCCATTCTCCGGATTCAAACTGCCAACTTTTCAGCCAGCAAGTTCAGCAGCTCAACCATTTAACCCACTGCAATATTATATTTGTTACCACCAATTAAAGCATTGTAAAAAATTATTTCTAAATACCTAAACTTAATAACTTTCTTTTATTAATCAAAATGCATTATTTTGATGGGAAAATTCACAAATTATCATCTTAAAATATTCTGCAACTCTGTGGATAGAATTCCCAATCCTAAAGTATCACCTTGATACACAGAGTAGAGTTGAATGGCTTCTGTTCATAGAAGTGCTTGTTCAACTTTCCACATTCTGGCACTTATCACTTATGTGGGACTACAGTCATCCCAAAACAGAACAGCCAGTTGCCAAGCTGGTTGGAGATTATGGACATTGTAGTACTAGGTTAGAGACAGGTGAAAGAAAACATTGTGGAAGTAAAGTGAAACTAAATCCAAAGTTGCCTAACTACTTGTATAAGCTGAAGCCTGGTGATGACTTTCTGTGAACTGTCTCATAACAATTATTGTACAAATAGTCGTAGAGGGAAAACTACTTGTGAATCTTTGGGGTGGAAACATTCTTGTTATTTTTCCATTTTGCATGTTCAGCAATGGTGACATAGATTTTTGGATTTCACTGGAGAAGAAAAATTCAACCGTTGTAAAATTCTGACAGCTGCTCTGCATTTCCTTTGCTTAAAAGCTCCACAAGATATATATTCAAGCGGCATACCTTCTAATTCCTCATTACTTATCTAGACGTTGCCCTCTTCCTCTGCTTTCTTGTTAATATTTTGACTTTTTCATCCCATCTCTCCCCCTTTTTTCTTCCCCTTCATGTTAAAATTGATTTTACATAACCTCTTGTACAGAGGTGTGAAGTTTTCTGTCCTCTGCCATAATATCAGTCACTCCAGGGAATGTTCACTTAGTTCCATTTTGTATGAAACTTTTGTTGGGCAAGTGGGCTTATTAACAAAAGACCACCCTCATAAATGCACAGCAGAGTAACTTAGCAGCAGCAACGTGACCCAGCACCAGTAGCCAAAAGTGATATAAAGAACAAAAACACAGAGACCAATATTATCTCTTCCATAGAAGGCTTTTCTTTGTAATAAAATAATATGGTTGCACTATTTACAAAAACAAGGCTTCCATGACGCAAATAAAGCTCAACCTTCACACTGGAGCTTTACACACGAGACCTTCTCATACCAAGGCCTACTTCACACACTGAGGCATTCTCTCACACGGGGGCCTTCTCATGCTGAGGCCTACCTCACACTGAGGGCTCTCTCAGACTGAGGTGAAGTAACACTGAGGCCTTCTCATACTGAGGCCTACTGAGACCCTTCTCCCATAGAGACCTCTCACAGACTGAGGCTACTAAGCTACAGGCACACCTGCTTATCTTGAACTGCAGGTTTTGTTGAGTCATTGCATCCATTTAACCCTTTCAGTGCTTGACTCACATTTTTGTAATTAAAAATACCTAGTTACTGTCCTGATTTTAGAGTTTAATATTTCTGACAACTTTAAATTCACAGTTAAATGTAAAACTTCCTAACCCCTAGAAATTTACTTTTGACTTCTCAATGGTGAGATAAAAAGTAGGAAGGCTACAATCTTCTGCTACGATTACCAGAATTGCTCTTAACATAACTGAAACTTATTTTTTTATTTATCGTGTCATCAGCAACCATTGTATTACAATTCTAACAGAGCAAAACAAACACACAGATTAAAAGAAAACTGAAACTGGAAGTGACATTTCTTCATTTTTGTTGAGTTGCAAAATGACATTTTTTTCCCAATCTGGTTGAGTCTTAGGAGGTAGAGTAGTCCAAATGTCTTGTTTTTGTGATAGTTTGGATGGTTTGAGAAGTCTACATAGAGTTTGTGGTGGCAAGGAACAAGGCCTGGGGACCACATTTCATTTACTTCTGATTTCATCAAAGTGGAAATGTATCTGAACAGGGGCTTGTGAATATGTTTTGCTTACCAAGTATTTTGTTGGCATTGCAACTTAGAATCTGTTTCGTGTTACTATCTGTCATGCAGTAGAAGTCCCATTCTTAGAGTTCTGCTTCAACTGAAAGAGTTTATCTTTCTGTGAATGTCCTCAATAAGTAAAATGTTGGCCTTGCTGATCAGCAATGTATTTCCTTTCAAAAAAAAAAAAAGAACCGATTACTCCAATGATTTGATGCAGTGACAAAAACAAATTGTAGATCTCGTTAAGAAAGGAAAATAGGATGCAAATGTGTGTGAATTCACTTTGGAATTGTTACCAGTGTACTTTGGTGCCTAGCTTATTCATGCCCCCTTGTGGCTATTGTTTTGCTTTTTGATAGCACTAAATATTTAGTTTCACTACAGATCATACTATCTTTTATTCATTCAGCATGTTGCTTTAATAACATTCATTGTTTTATAAAGGTTTTCATGGGTTAGCTTTTATCTGTTTATCTTAGGCCAAAGAACTGCCAACATTCAAAGACAATGATTTTATCAAGAATGGTCAAAAGATTTTTATTGATGAAGCCAACAAAAAGATGTTCCTTGAAAAGCTTAAAAAGGATGTGGAGGTAAGAACACCATCTGTCCAACTCAGGTGCCACACTGAGCAAAGTTCCAGAAACACCTGCTAGACAACATTGCCCATTAAGACCAAGGTTTTAATTCCTGCTTAGCCATGAGAAGCCATTGGTTCATCTTGGCCATGTCACGCTTTCTTGGCAGAAGAGGAAGACAGAAGCAAACCTCTTCTGAATGAATCTTGCTAAGGAAAGCTATGATGGCTCATAACAACGGTGGGAAAGGATGAGACTTGGGCATCCCTCTTTCTTAGCACAGTAAACTGGTATAAAAAGAAAAATAAAGTGTACTTTTGAAGTGCAGATGCGTATGCTTCTATCTAACATTTCTAACAAAGGGTTGCTGTGAGTTTTCTGGGCTGTATGGCCATGTTCTAGAAGCACCCACATCAATGCAAGGCATCCTCAGAGGTGGTGAGGTTTGTTGGAAACTAGGCAAGTGGGGTTTAAATACCTGTGGAATGTCCAGAGTGAGAGAAAGAACTCTTGTCTGCTAGAGGCAAGTATGAATGTTGCAATTGGCCACCTTGATTAGCATTTGATGGTCTTGCAGCTTCAAAGCCTGGCTGGTTGCTGCCAGGGGAAATCCTTTGTTGGGAGGTATTAGTTGGCCCTGAGTGATTCTTGTCTGGAATTCCTCTGTTTTTTAGTATTGCTCTTTATTTACTGTCCTGATTTTAGAGTTTTTTAATACTGGTAGCCAGATTTTGTTCATTTTCATGGTTTCCTTCTTACTGTTGAAATTGTCCACATGCTTGTGGATTTCAGTGGCTTCTCTGTGTATTCTGACATGGTGGTTGTTAGAGTGGTCCAGCATTTCTGTGTTCAAAAGTGTAGAGATTTTTCACCATTCTCTTGTCTAATTGGTGGATCTTGATGTTCTATAAGCACAAGAACAGAAAGAAAATACTAGCTTATTAATTTTCTACTTCCACCACAATGATGTAGCTTGATAGTTTAAGCCAGGCTTGGGCAAACTTCATCCCTCCGGGTGTTTTGGACTTCAACTGCCACAATTCATAACAGCCAGTTTGCTTGAACTGACTGTTAATTGTGTATGCAGAAAATGTTACTTTTTTGAACTACCAGTCTTGAAATCCCTTACCAACTTGGCTATTGACTTCAGGCAGTGTTTGCCATCACCCATTAGATTCCAGTTTGTGTTGTTTCCCTAAATTCAACACAACATAACATATTTCAAACTGAATTAGTGTAGATTATTTACCTATTCTGACTTCACAGCAATTTTTGAGATGAGTTAGATTGAGAATAGTGACGAGTTGAAAGTCATCAAGAAATTGGGGAGGAAAAACAATTTGCTATCATCTGCTGATCCACCTATTTTGTGAAATGTCTCTACCCTCTAATGATAGGGAAATGACTCCATATGCTACCATCCCTAGGTCAAATTTTCCTGTGTTATAAGACCTAGAAACCCATGCTTCTGTTTCTTAAACTTTCTGGTTCTTGTGAGCAGGTGTTTGTTGCAGATCTCTGTGTGAAAGTGAATTCAGGGGCCCAGGATACTGCTTTGGGTCCTGTACTGGGAGAAAGGTGGGTCTAAATTAAAGAAATACAAAATCTTTTATTAGTTGGGCTTTTAAATATCATTGCCATCCCGATATAAAGATCCATGTCTTGTGGAATAGAACAAGAAGTCCAATATTGAGTTACTTAGCATAACATCTGAGTGTGCTGGCCATTTTGTTGTGAATACTTGATTTCTGTGATAATTGGATTTTGAAAAATTTGGCTTGTTGTGGAAACAAGGATTGGTGATAAAGATTCAGTGGAGACACCTTTTCCCCATGATAACATTTTCAGGAGTGAATTTCCCTTCCTGGGGATAGATTTCTCTCACTTTCTGTTGTCTCGCTCCATTTTTAACGGAGTTGTCAGATGTTTGTAACTTGGAGATTCCCTGTACCAGGCCATTTCTCTTTGAGGTGTGGGTCAAAAACTCTTTTTGCTGTTTAAGCTCTTAGAAGGTCAGCCGTATAATTGTGTTTGGAGAAACTTGTGTGGTATTGATTAACATTCATACAGAAGTACCATTAAATTTGTATGTAGGCAATTATAGCAAAGTGGCTTGGCATCTCTTGCTGATAATGGAAAGCTAGAACTGCCTCTATCTTTTATCTTTAAATATTCATTTGACTGCTTTGCTTGATGCTGATATATTAGAGACCGAAAGAAGGAGCACTGCTTATGTTTGTTAGATATTATTTGTATTTGAGTATCTCTTAAAATATATATCAATTACATGATTTGATTGCTATTTATAACAATAGTTATCTGGGTTTTTTTTCTATTTAAATGAACTTTTCTGGAAAATTTGGACTTGGTTGACTACTCAGTTTGACTTCCAGTTCCATGGAGTTGGAGCATACCTGCTCAACTCAGTGTGATTTCATGGAGATCTTGAAACTGTTCTTTAGATGTACAGTGGCACATATGCCAGTATTTATTCAGTTACACTGCTTCTGCATTGTGTCAAGAAAAATCTTCTGAGCAGGGTAGATGTCATAATCACATTGTTTGATTTTATATATATATATAACTCACACACGCCTCTGGAAGAGGGGACGAGTTATTGCATAATGGAAAGGATACAATTCAAAGTGGGGTCTTTCAGCAGCAGGATAATATCCAAAGTACAGTATTTGAATGTTACTCCCTTCTAACATTCTGCAAAATGGTTAAGACCTGGCTCTTCAAGCAAGCTTTTACTACTGAAGCACAATTAGACAAAAACGAATATATGGAACGACCGACAATGCAATTGGACAACAATTTTAGTAAGGAGACGCCAAGGATTTTGTTTTTATAGACATTGTTTCTTTTATATTACATTTTAAATGTTAAATTGTTTTTATAATTGTTTTAACTGTATTTTGATATGTGAATCGTTGCCGACTGTGAACCGCCTCTGGCTGAGAAAGTCGGTGTACAAATGCGGTAAATCATAAATAAATAGTTTGGAGATGCACCAGCTCTCCTTGGCAGAGAAGGGTAAAGAGTGTGTAGAACTACAACTCCCATGATTCCATTGCATTGAGCCAGGACAGTTAAAGTGCTGTCGAGCTGCATTCATTCTGCAGTATAGAATCACCTAAGGAAGCTGAGGCAGGATAAACAGCATTGCCTCCTTGAGGGAAGAAAAGGTTATCTATTTCTCTGGTTTTCTTTTCAATTCCTGGAAGATTTGGTGTTCTAACACTTTTATTTTATAGAAGCAACTCTAAGAAGGCAGCAACTGTAATGCACATCTTCTTTGGCCAAATTTCAAATATAATGAGCAACTGCTCGTTATATTTGCCAGCAAATTAAGGTGTGCATTATATTTGATGGTGCACTAGATTCGAGTAAATACTTTAGTTCCTATTGGTACTAATTGCATATTTCCTTCCATTTAACTAACAAGGAAAGACAGCAAAGTCTGAGTTGACTCTTTCTCTTTCACATGACAGCAGCATTTATTTGAAATCCACTAAAGGGCAAAACCGTTTGATAAGTGTCACATCTAGTTTTGCCACAGTTACAAGACTGCGGATGTTGTCATGTGTATTGCTCAAATTTGCTTTCCTTGAATTTTTTAAAAAAAATGTATATATAACAAAATAATTTCTGAAAGCACCATTGGTCTTCTGTCTCACTGGCCACCTGTTCAGCCATATCATATCCAACTGCTATTTTCCTTAGATAGAGAAAACCAGCACTAGGCACCATCCTTGAGTGATGAATAGTGTTGAAGCGGCTGCAGTTACCCAGCGGTTTCCCTCAGATGGAAGATGACAGTTGAATGTCCCACATGGTCAGCCTACATCTGATAAACTCAGGTGTGTCAGAGGATGTTATGGTCTTGCTGGGACTGGAGACTAAGCAACCAGTGTGGTCACCTTCACCTTCTGCTGATGAATGGCATGGGGAGCTACCTTTGCCATCTGTTCAAATGGACAATTATCTTTACATCATGCAGATGAATGATATGTTTGTTTTACTCACTACTTCATGTATTTAAATATACAGGCACATTTCTTGTCAGGTTAAACTTCAAAACGTTTCAGTTTCTATCTTTAACTTACAGGGTTTAACAGTCTCTTTTTATAACAGTCTACTTTCAAAGGAAACTCAAGCCTCAGCAGTTTCCTAACTTCCTAAACTGACATCTCTACTCAAACTGACTCCAGCCTCAACTGTCATCCTATTAAACTGCATTCTAAATGGTCACTGAACCAGTCACATAGTCTGCAGCCCCTCCCACTGCCTCAAGTATATAGAGTTAAGAAAACTGCAAGAAGGCATAGACTTCAGGAAATAAATGTCACATTATAAACAGACAAAGCATTAAATAGAAGAGGCTTGTGAAGGTTGCTATCTCCAACACACTATTGTTGCAGGGTAGGGTTAGTGTGTTCAGAATCATACATTGAAAATTCATTGGCTTCAGGATCAATATATTGTAGTTGAGTTCAGCTTTTAGAGTGTCAGCAGATTCATTCTGATCCAAATTTCTTCTGAGTTGAACTCAGTAGATTTTTATATTTTAATTGCTCCTACTGGATTGGATCAGAGTCTCTCTAGGTAGTGCCATTAACCTTCTCTCAATGCTGTTGTCCAGGAACTGATATTCAGTGCCGTTCCGGTTCCCAACACGAGAGCTTCATTTAGTCATCGTGACTAATCTGTATCTTTCATGGATTTATCTTGCTGTTATTGTTATGTGGCTTCAGGTTGACTCCAATTTATGACAATCCTTTCATGAAGATTTTCTTGGCAAGATTTATTCAGAGGAGATTTGTCATTGCCTTCCTCTTAGGTCGAATGTGACTTTCCGAAGGTGACTCAGTGGTTTTTCTTGGCTAAGCATGGATTCAAACCATGGACTCATGGAGTCCTGGTCCAATATTCAAACCACTATCTTAGATGGCTTTGCCTTGATCTTATTCCCCTATTAAATCTAAATAATCTCGTAACCACTTATTTATCAAAGTCTGCTTTAAGTCTTAGAAAGTAATGCTTGTGTTTACCAACTGAATGTTAGATTCTCTCTACATTTTCCATTGTCCCATGGTAACTTACCCTTCATTATTGCCATTTAGTTCCTTGCTCAATTAAAACTCATGGACTACAGCTTGTTGGTTGGGATTCACGATGTTGAGAGAGCGGAACAGGAAGAAGTAGAATGTGAAGAGAACGAGGAGGATGAAGGAGAAAGTGACGGGACTCACCCAGTCGGAACACCTCCTGATAGTCCAGGAAATACACTGAACAGCTTGCAGCCTTTAGCTCCTGGGGAATTTGATCCAACCATTGATGTTTATGGAATAAAATGTCATGACAGTAAGTGATACTTGCTATAAATATTTAGCTGTGGAAGACTTTTTGTCTCTAGGGTTTTTAAAAAAGGAGAGTTATAGATGCTGCACTATATCAATCACGCAACAGAGAAGGATTTTTAAGTACTTCTCCTTAACAGCTAACATTCAGTACAAGGTTTATTCTCCTGTGACTTGAGTCTACTGCTTTAACATTATGCAATTGTTGGTTATTTTCTGAGAGGTTTCATATAGTTACAAGCACCCAGTGTTGCTATAGTTCCCTTAACATTGCTGCATGCTTTGGAAAGTATATTTAAACTTTTTAGTATCATACATTTTGTGTTACATTCTATAAGTTTGGAATTTCTGAATGTTGTGGAATTTCTGGGGACTAAAGCAATCTAAGTAAGTTCAACAGTTTGTTATCTTAATGTATTCCCATTTACTTCTATAGGTGTATCTGATCTTCTAGACATGACATATGTACAGTTTTAGTTACATGTTTGTCCCCCACAGATGCGCCTAGAAAGGAGGTATACTTTATGGCCATCATTGACATTCTTACCCATTATGATGCAAAAAAGAAAGCTGCACATGCTGCAAAAACAGTCAAACATGGCGTGAGTATCACCATTTGGAACATTCCACTTCTGCTAAATATTTTAAGCATTAACCATTATGGATAGGGGACCAAGGGGAGTGAGGACCTGTGATTGTTTATATAGGCGTTCCCTGTTTGTCTCAAAAGTAGTTGTCAGTGAATCTCAATTAAACCTTGACTGACAACTGCTTTTGAGACAAACAGGGAACCACCATGTACAATCACAGGTCCTCACTCCTCTTGGTCCACTGTTAATGACACTCAATTAAATCTTGGAGCCCCCAGTGACTCAATGGATTAAACCCTTGTGCCAGCAGGACCGCTGACTAACAGGACCAACAGACAGGACTGCTGATCAATCGTTATATTTTACAATGCTCCTATTTTAATTGTGTTTTTGCTTTAATGGATTGTTTTGCTTTTATGTTTTGTGGGTATTTTGACCCTATGTAAGCCGCCCTGAGCCCCTTTGTGAAGATGGTGGTGGGGTATAAGAATAAAGAAGTATTATTATTATTATTATTATTATTATTAGCACTTCATCTTCTTGTGCTAATAATAATAATAATAATAATAATAATAATAATAATAATAGCTTATTAATTATCTACTGAAGCCCCCGGTGGTGCAGTGGGTTAAACTCTTGTGCTGGCGGGGCTGAAGACCGATAGGTCACAGGTTTGAATCCAGGAAAAGCGTGGATGAGCTCCCTCTTGTCAGCTCTGGCTCCCTATGCAGGGACATTAAGGAAGCCTTCCACAAGGATGGTAAAACATCAAACATCCGGGCGTCCCCTGGGCAACATCCTTGCAGACGGCCTATTCTCTCACACCAGAAGCGACTTGCAGATTCTCAAGTCACTCCTGACACAGAAAAAAAAATCTTCATTGCTGAAAAAAGGACAATGCTTGCATCCCATGCAATTTACTTATCCGAAGCTATCTCCTTCCATTGAAGCTGTTATTTGTCTGCTAACTTAGGAAAACAAAGATACAAATTCTCTAAAGACATCTCCTCTAATTTGTGCTTGAAAGAACCCTTGAAAGCAATCTGTACAATTATTGCCTGCGGTCCTGTTTACTGGAGAGTAATTGGATCAAGTTCCTTAATTATATGACTGTCAGCCATTTGTGACTCTAACACAAGAGAGTGCAGATGGTGACACGTTTTTATTTACAAAGTGTTTTTACCAAGAGAATTATGAACACAAGTGGAAAGATGGAGGAGACGAGAATGGCTTGGGGAGATGGGTAAAGCTGAGGGGTGACATTTTGAACGTCATTACTTTTGAGGAGGGCACTGGCAACCCTAAGGGTGTCCCATTTTGAGGACTGCGAGAGAAGGTGTGCGTTGTTTGAATTACCCTATTAGTTTTCTCATTGTTACTATTTGTTAATCCTCCTCAACAATTTCTCAGCCTCACACTTCTGCTGAAGCATGTTTTTCATGCTTCATCAACAATAATCAGCTGCTGAAAAAAAGTCACAGATTTCCTTGTCTTACCTTCTTCTCTAACCACCTGAAGCCTAACCCTGCCAAGACACAAGTGTGTGTTTTTCACCTACGGGACCATGAAGCCAACAGGAAATTGAAAGTTATCTGGGAAGGTCAAGAGCTTGGACATTGTTTCCACCTTAGATCAAACGCTAACATACAGGAAACACTGCATGAACAGCAAGCACAAAGTAGCTGCACACAGTTACATCCCGTGGAAACTGACAGCACATTGGGTGAAGACCCAAAATTAGTAAGAACATCAGTCCTAGCCTTGTCTTACTCAACTGCCAATTATGCCTGTCCTGATAGGCATAAGTCTGCCCATGTGAAGCAGGTGAACATAGCACTGAACGAAACATGCAGAACAATCACAGGATGTCATAAATCTACACCTGTTGATAAACTCTACAAGCTAGCTGGCATCCCCCCCCCCCCTCGATATGTGATGGGAAGTTGCTGCTAACTGTGAGAGAAATAAGGTTGAACACTGTGAAAGCCATCCACTACATGGCTACCAACCTCCTCCCAGTAGACTCAAATCAAGGAAAAGCTTAACTCCTCTAAACGTTCCCTCAGCAACAGCAAGAGTAACCCTCTGGGCAGCTAAACCAAGAAATCCCAGTTGGATACCCCACCCACGAGGATCTTCCTCCAGAGGCAAACCAAGAATGAGCAACTTGGAAGTCCCTGAACAGACTCGGAAGTGGAGTGGGCAGATCAAAAGACAACCTGGCAAAATGGCACTGCCTAAAGGAATACTCTATCTCATGTGACTGTGGAGCAGAACAGACAACTCCGCATCTGTATGCTTGTCTGCAGTGTCCTGCCTCATGTACAGAGGAAGAATTGTTGGGAAGCTACAGACAATGAGGTTGCTGTTGCCTGTTTTTGGTCAAAAAGATACTTAGCTGCTTGTGCTCCTATTTTTATCAGTTTTATACTACTTTATGCAATGGGTTGTTGTAGGTTTTTCGAGCTATATAGGCATGTTCTAAAAGCATTCTCTCCTGACGTTTCACCCACATCTATGGCAGCCATCCTCAGAGGTTGTGAGGTCTGTTGGAAAGTTGGCAAGTGTCCTGATTTTTAATACTGGTAGCCCTATCAGTAAATAAAGAGGAACACTCAAACAACAGGAGAATTCCTGACATGAAACAATCAGGGCCAGCTAAACCTCCCAACAAAGAATTCGCCCAGGCAGGAATCAGCCAGTCTTTGAAGCTGCAAGGCCATTCAATACTAATCAACTTGGTCATTTGCAACATTCACACTTGCCTCAAGCAGACAGGAGTTCTTTCTCCCACCCTGGACATTCCACAGGTATATAAACCTCACTTGCCTAGTTTCCAACAGACCTCACAACCTCTGCCATAGATGCAGGTGAAACATTAGGCGAGAATGCTTCTATGACATGGCCATACAGCCTGAAAAACCTACAACAACCCAGTGATTCTGGCCATGAAAGCCTTCGACAATACAATTTATGCAATGCTTTTGATATGAAATAAATAAACCTCTTTCTCTGCTCCCCCCTCCCCCATTGTTCTTGCTTTGCAGGCCGGTGCGGAAATTTCAACAGTTAACCCCGAACAGTATTCAAAGCGGTTCTTGGACTTTATTGCCAACATTTTGACGTAACCTAATGTTCCATTGGACAGATACGAGGTCTGGGAACAGCAGCAATGGCTACCAGTGTGTAAGGGATAAAAGCTTCTTTTAAAAGGAACTCTCAAGTGCTATCTTGCAGAAGGCAGCCCCCTTGTTTACATCTGCTGGCAAAGATGACTGACTGGGGTGAAATATTCGCTTTTAAACAGCTGCCTGATTATGCCCAGCATAGTTCTAGCTATTTCCGATGCGCGCACGTGTGTGTGTGTGAGTGTGTGTGCGTGTATGAGTGTGCAAAAACAAATATAAATTAACTAATATTAACTAAAATAGTTCAGCTTCTTACTCGGTGTGCATTGCAAGAACAACACTCCGTGGATACTAGCTGAGATGGAACGAATGGACAAAGGAGTTGGGGTGGGAGGGAGGGAAGGGAAGGGAGGAATACGTGCATGTTAAGCTCAACAACAACAGCGTTGGTATCAAAGTTAAACTGTGGATCAGTTTATTTTTTGAGCCAAGAGGTGCAACACAGTATTGGTGGTGATGACGACTCTGACCTTTCTGCACAGGTTACACTTAACAATCCTGCATGCTGACTCTCCTTAAGAATAGCTCCATGTGTTGGAAGCGTTCCTGTTGGCAACACTTAGATTTTAATTTTATTAAATTGGCCTATCGCAACAGGAAACAGTCTTCCAGGAATTGAGAGGTTTTGGCTCTAGTTTTACTACAGTCTAAATGCCATAATCATGCTGGGTTTTCTTTGCCAAGGGTAAACATATTCTGGGGGTGGGAGCTGGAAAAAAAGGAGGTTTCACTGTTTTAGTACATGAAGATTTCACACAGTATGTTTATCATATAGGAACTAACTCTGCTACAGAGGAAATCAGATGGGTTTTTAGGAGAAATGCATTGTTTTGGGCAATAATAGTGTTTTCCACCTCACGAACAAAGGAATAGGAAAGTCTGTTCACTTCTGATTGATCAAAAACCGAGAAAAAAAGTTTTAAATGCTTACATGTGCTGTTTTTAATATTCTATTAAAGTACTCCTTTTTTAAGCCCTAAACTTTACTGTTTACATTACTAGGAAGACAGGGATGCTTTTGAGAGGCTGTGTGCAGTATGTGAATCTGAAGTTTACATGTAAAGTTATTTTGCAGTACAAGATGAAGTAATATCTTGAGATGTAATATGCAGTAATGTACCCAGGTGGATGCTTCACTCACTTCCATGATAGATTTTGCAATTAATGATGGCCGATTGTTTGAGGAATTGTTTTAGAAGTGGCATTTTTATTACTTCAGTGGTAATAATCAGCTTTGTCTTTTCTCCAAATCATGATGTTTGGTTGCTTAAAGGTTTGCCGTCCCTTGTTAACCTGTTTTCAATACTCTGACCTTGGGAAAAGTTCCAAACTTCAGTAAAGACCTAATTAGAGATATATGGTTAAAATTATGTTCTCTACTTACTTACACACTGTGCTAAAATTGTGCCTTTTTGTCATTCTTTGTTGAAACAGACATTCGTGGGCAACTCATAACAACGAAAACTCCCCTCTCCCACTGCAACCTAAAGCTTTTCCCAAGAGTGCCAGGTTGCCTTCTCTTGTAACACAATGCCAGGACTGTTCAGACTCTAGCTGTGTATAATGCATTGACTTTAGCAAATTCTGATGAAACAGCAGTTAATACCACCCTTGTTGTTAAGTTGGTTTTTTAAAAAAAGATTTAACGTATCTAAGTGGGTTTTATTTTCTCACCAAAGATGAGAAATTTTAAGGGTTTAATTAATTAGAGGGTGCCCTGGTGGCACAGTGGGTTAAACCGCTGAGCTGCTGAACTTGCTGACCAAAAGGTTGGCAGTTTGAATCTGGGGAGCAGGGTGAGTTTCCACTGTTAGCCCCAGCTTCTGCCAACATAGCAGTTCGAAAACATGCAAGTATGAGTAATAGGTACCACTTCCGCGGGAAGGTAGCGGCACTACATGCAGACATGCTGGTCACATGACCTAAGCTCTTCGGCTTAGAAATGGAGATGAGCACCATCCTCCAGAGTCGGACACAACTAGACTTAATGTCAGGGGAAACTTTTACTACTTCATAGAATCATAGGATCATAGAGTTGGAAGAGACCTCATGGGTCATCCAGTCCAAACCCCTGCTAAGAAGAAGGAAAATTGAATTCAAAGCACCCCTGACAGATGGCCATCCAGCCTCTGTTTAAAAGCTTCCAAAGAAGGAGCCTCCACCACACTCCGGGGCAGAGAGTTCCACTGCTGAACGGCTCTCACAGTCAGGAAGTTCTTCCTAATGTTCAGATGGAATCTCCTCTCTTGTAGTTTGAAGCCATTGTTCCACATCCTACTCTCCAGGGAAGCAGAAAACAAGCTTGCTCCCTCCTCCCTATGACTTCCTCTCATGTATTTATACATGGCTATCATGTTTCCTCAGCCTTCACTTCTTCAGGCTAAACATGCCCAGCACTTTAAGTCGCTCCTCATAGGGCTTGTTCTCTAGACCCTTGATCATTTCAGTCACCCTCCTCTGGACACATTCCAGCTTGTCAATATCTCTCTTCAATTGTGGTGTCCAGAATTGGACACAATATTCCAGGTGTGGTCTAACCAGTGCAGAATAGAGGGGTAGCATGACTTCCCTGGATCTAGAAAGTTATAGTCCTATTTATGCAGGTCAAAATCCCATTGGCTTTAGGAATTGTGGGAGTTGAAGTCCAAAACACCTGGAGGGCCGAAGTTTGCCCATGCCTGGTATAGACAGTACTGCGCAAGACAGACTAATGTCTAACCTTGTGCAAGACAGCTTTCTCTGTTTTCCTCATCCGTAGCTCTTCTGTTGCTACCTCTCATTCACTTCTGCAGCCCTGGCTCACTTCCCAGCCAGCTATACATCATTCATGATTGTGTGAGAGAAGAAGCGTCGGCCACATTAGGTTCCCACCAACTTGTTCTCCTTCCTCCTTGATATGTTTATAAACGTCCAGAATTGCTCGATGACTGTGTTGCGCAGTGATCATGCGGCCCCACTATTTTTTAATGTTATGTCAACTATTTTGAATGTGGGTGGCATTTTAATTTCTTTCAGGGATTAGCTTTCTTCCACAATTAAGAATAGCTGTAGCTTCTATCCTAAGGTCCATTATGGAACATGATACCCAAAATTGTACTCATCAATTTGGATATGTTACAGAAATGACACATGTCAAAGTAACTCAAGGAAGATCTGTCAATCATCATTTTACAGTTCCTTGTTGAATTACACTACATTTGTATACGTGTACTCTTCCCACATATAGACATTCAGCAAATGTTTTTGTTTTTTCTTAACCTGAATATCTTCTCAAATGCACCCCACACTTTTGTGAAGGAGGCCACACTGGATGTTTGTAGACCTTCATCTGTGTTTCAGCCAATGTGTCTCAGAAAGATGCTTCACCAATTATATTTCCATCTCATTTCCCATTTGAGCTGGTACAATTTGATATATTGTATACTGTATCCTTCCCTGGGCTGTCACCACAAATTCTACCATCTGTGATTATCAAGAATATAAATTAACTTCATAATAGACATCCTTAATTTCTAATGTTTCACTAAATGTGTTGCTTCACCTCTAATGTTAGTCCACATAATAGATTCTCTCAGTTGTAATCATATATTGAATATGTGTTGTTGAAGGCTTTCATGGCCAGAATCACTAGGTTGCTATGAGTTTTCCGGACTGTATGGCCATGTTCCAGAAACACTCTCTCCTGACATTTCACCCACATCTATGGAGCCCCCGGTGGCGCTGAGGGTTAAACCCCTGAGCCGGCAGGACTGAAGACCGACAGGTCGCAGGTTCTAATCCGGAGAGAGGCGGAGTTCCCTCTGTCAGCTCCAGCTCCTCATGCAGGGACATGAGAGAAGCCTCCCACAAGGATGATAAAAACATCAAATCATCTGGGCGTCCCCTGAGCAACGTCCTTGCAGACGGCCAATTCTCTCACACCAGAAGCGACTTGCAGTTTCTCAGGTCACTCCTGACACGACAAAAAAAACAAAACAAAAAACCCACATCTATGACAGGCAGAGGTTGTGAGGTATATTGGAAACTAAGCAAAGGAGGTTTATAGATTTGTAGAAGGTCTAGGGTGGGTGAAAGAACTCTTGTCTGCTGGAGGCAAATGTGAATGTTGCAATTAATCACCTTGATTAGCATTGCAAAGCCTTGCAGCTTCAAGGCCTGGCTGATTCCTGCCTCTAATTTTAGAGTTTTAGAGTTACTGTCCTAAAATTAGGACAGTAAATAAAGACTAACTGGAATTCCAGACATGAAACAATCAGAGCCAGCTAACATCGCCCAACAAAGGATTCCCCCAGGAAGGAATATACCTCACAACCTCTGAGGATGCCTACCATAGATGTGGGAGAAAAATCAGGAGAGAAAGCTTCTGGAAAATGGCCAGACAGCCCGGAAAACTCACAGCAACCCATATATTGAAGAATTTGTCCATATTTCTTGTCCTTTTGTGCTTTCATTATTCCCAACAAATAACATTCTAGTCTTTTTTGTAATGAATTTTTTAATGTCCTCTATCATCATATATATTTCAGTCCAGTATTTCTATGCTTTATTGCATGTCCATCACATATGAACATTGCTTCCTATTATCATTTGGGAGACTTGTTGATCACTGTGCAAACAGTCCTCATTTTGCTTTCAGCAAAGCTAGTAGCTGCTGTATGGTTTCCTTACATGTTTCATTATTTTCTGCCTTTGTATTTTTTATGTTTTTTAACCAAAATATTCATACTTCATTTACTTCTTCATCTAGAGTTGGATTGGGTTTTCTGCCAACTCTTCTTTCTGATTCCGTTCTGCACATTTAGAGATAACCACTGTCTATATCTTGTGAGGCTTGCTATAAAATTGAGGTCTGCATTTCTTTTCCCACTAAACCGTTTCCCTTCTATTTTTGTCTGCATTGCTAGCATAGCTTGGTCACCATACTTCTTGGCTCGTCCCTCTAGATTCCATTTACTGGGGTTTGGGAAATATGGTTTTGTTTAGTCTCAGACATTCGTTTCTAATGGATTTTCCCCTTATAGGCTTCCTTATCCATCAGATGATTTATTTATTCGTTCATTCTCTTTGTTTCCAGTCCATATTGTGATATCATCATTATTAGGGCACAAATTGTTTTGTTTGAGGTTTTGAGACACCCTTCATTATCAATTCACCAATCATTTTTTATAAGTGTGCCTATTTGATTGGTTTAATAAAAAGTATTGTCAGAATATGGACTTCAGCATTTGTTGTTTGGTTTAAACCGCTGAGCTTGCTGACCGAAAGGTCGACGGTTCAAATCCAGGGAGCAGGGTGAGCTCCCACTGTTAGCCCCAGCTTCTGCTAACCTAGCAGTTAGAAAACATGCAAATGTGAGTTGATCAGTAGGTACCGCTATGGTGGGAAGGTAACAGCGCTCCATGCAGTCATGCTGGCCACATGACCTTGGAGGTGTCTATGGACAATGCCGGCTCTTCGGCTTAGAAATGGAGATGAGCACCACCCCCAGAGTCAAACGTGACTATACTTCATGTCAAGGGGAAACCTTTATCTTTAACACAACATCCTTTGCATTTTTTTCTGTTTCCAATCTATTGCTGAAAATTGGTTTGTGTCTTTGCCATCTGCTCACTATTCATCAGCTGCACCCTCTCTAGAAACGGCGTCCTTTCAAAACTTAGGCTAAATTATTTGCTTGTTTTGTGATTCTCTACTGGGGCTAACTTGCAAAGCAGTCTCCCAAGGAATGTGCAGATTCCCCGTATTTGAATTCTTCTTTATTCAGATTTTCCCTCAAATTAGAGATCATCTGCCCATGTGCTGCACCAAACAGTTAAGTCAGTAACTTGATCTGATTAGAGTTTGGATGTCAAAATAGTCACAATAAAAATACAAAGTATACTTCACGCAACAAAATCTTATTCTCAGTTCTTGTGAGTTGCCGTTTGTCTGTGGCACAGCACAGTGATTACACTAATTCGTTCTCCACAACTTGAGGTCTTCTATTCTGTCTCCACGAGGTCTGTAGTTGCTCATATTCAGTTGCATTGGTTTATATGCTTTTAATTACTGCTTGTAACAACACGCTTGTCATTTTCAACAAAGATATATCATTTATTGTCATAGGTCACAGTTGTCCCATTAATACAGACTTGGCTTTCTCAGGGTAGCGCACCCTGTTCCCAGTCCTATTCTCACAATTTTATTAGACGCAGACGTGAAAAGCGTTATTGCAAGTCTCACCACTATTAATGTTCAGATCCCTACTGAATAGATAATAAGATTGGCATTCACTTGGGAAGGGGTGGCTCCCTAGATTCCTTCTTGGATAATGCAGTTTTTAATGCACCTTTTCATTGGCATTCACTCATGTTGGTCATCCAAGCATGGGTTTATGTTCCTTATGTTATGGGTTTTCATAATTGCCAGAAAGCCATACCCAGCCAATAGTCCATACATATATTGCAGAATGCCATATCTAATATATTTACTTTCTAATAAGTTTTCTATAATTTCATAAGGGAACAAATGAGAAACCCCTCTGACGGGTTGTGATAAGCCCAGATGAGATTGGGGTGTCTTACCAAGGCACTCCAAGCGTTTTGTGGTTGGATCAAACTGGATGATTGGGCCTTGGCTACTAGGCATGGGCAATCCATGGTTCTAAATGGTTCGAAAGTACTTACAAAACTAAGGTTCTGGTGGTGAAAACTAAGGGGCACTGATGCTTTGCTTCTACAGTGTTGCTAAAGTTCTGTTTGTGAAAATTTCAGAACTCTAACAAAACTTTCAAAATTTCATTATTATTTCATTATTGGCAATTTTTATGACAGAACCATTTAGGAACTGCCATTTATAACGAAATTTTGAAAGTTTTATTAGAGTTCTGAAATTTTCACCACCAGAACTTTAGCAACACTGTAGAAGCAAAGCACCAGCGTCCCCTAGTTTTCACCACCAGAACTTTAGTTTTGTAAGTACTTTTGAACCATTTAGAACAGTGGTTCTCAACCTGTGGGTAAACAGGTGTTTTGGCCTTGAACTCCCAGAAATCCTATCAGCTGGGATTTCCGGGAGTTGTAGGCCAAAACACTTGGGGACCCACAGGTTGAGAACCGCTGATTTAGAACCACGTATTGCCGCTACCCTTCTTTGCCATCCACTGAGAGCAAGTGGGTCCATATTCCTACCAGCACATCTGTTAGTCTCTGTAACAGGATTATTCGAGATCAGGATTGAGACGTAGGTCTGTCCTATCAGGCACAACTTGTACATTATTGCTCTCCAGGCGAGGCATACACCTGGGCTTTCCTAACAATCCCAGATAGATGCCTTCTTCCTGTGTGTCTCTCTAGTCTCCTTCCAGGATCCCAACTTCCTCCCAATCCTGTTGCTGTGTGGCCCTTCTAGTGATGTTAACAGTACTGTAATGTATGTGTATAGCTCTGTGTATTTATGTATTTAAGTTGATATGTGTGGCTTGGTTTTCCTATTTGTGTCCCCCTCATACACGCACACCCATTTCTCTTTTGACACCACATGAATGTTTTAATTTTTTACTCTACACAGTGGCTTCTAAGGTGTATCATGGGACTGAAAAGATACTACCAGGAAACTTTAAGAGGTACATAATTGTTACATTTTTAAAAAGGTAAATATTCCAATGTGGCCAATTAACATATGCTTTTTAATGAAGTAATTACAAAGCCTTTTTTTTGTCTGTAACAATCTTTGGCACTCGTTACTGTTAAATTGTTTGAAGAAGGTGAGGAAGTTTCACATTGTATCGCCTAGTTCTAAAAACACTCCAAACATGAGGCTTTATAAAATAAAGCACTTTGACTTGCTAGGAAAACCTTTGTCCTTTTTTGTCTCTCGTGTGTGTTGAGTCACTTTTGCAGCCAAAGGTTGGTTACCTCATTAACATGTAGTATGCATTTCGACATCAGAATCCCTAGGATGCCTTTTTATTAAATATTCCATCTTGAGTCCAGATGTCTGCATTCATTTTTTACACCTTTCCTGAGAATGAAATAATGTTTGATGCAAACTTGAGAGGCTCCACTATCACCACAGATGCCTGAAGAAAGGCCTGACTTTGTGTCAGATTTATGTGGCACAGTGGGTTAAACCCTTGTGACAGCAGGACTGATGACCGACAGGTCAAAGGTTTGAATCCAGGGAGAGTGTGAATGAGCTCCCTCTGTCAGCTCCAGCTCCCCATGCAGGGACATGAGAGAAGCCTCCCACAAAGATGGTAAAACATCAGAACATCCGGGCATCCCCTGGGCAACGTCCTTGCAGACAGTACTTAAAGGTTGTTACGTGGGGTAGCATGACTTCCCCGGATCTAGAGACACTAGACTCCTATTGATGCAGGCCATAAATAGTAGTCCCACCATTAGCATTGATGCTTTAGCAGGCTGGTTTGATAACATTCTTCTCTCTATTGGGAAACAACTTGTTCCCCATCATGGTCCCAAATCCTCTGGAAATCTTAGAAAAGCATTAATGAGAAGGAGCTTTCCAACACTTAATTAGAAACAGATACATCTCATAGCCCTGTGACTTTTGACTCAGTTGTAACTTACTGGAATGTGAAATGGCTGAGCCTTTTAAAAATAAAAATGTAGCTTACTAGCCTATTCACTTGCCCTGAGACCTGAAGGGAGCTCTTTTGAACAGAAATCTGAAATTGATCGTTGAACTTACCATATATGTTGGTATTCTGTCCCAGGTACTGATAGAAATCATTATTAAAGCTCAAATTGTTCAAGTAGTGCTTGAGAGGTTGGTTCTGTGGGAGTGGGGATATGGGAGATGCAGCTTCTGGGATCTCCCAAATATTTATTGTATATCTTCAGTTGGTGCCCCTTAAACAAATCTGTCACATATACTGATCCTTTATCTCCAAGACTGTGCAGCTTGATCCCTGGATGAGGAATACTACATTGTGAAGACGTTAGCTCTTGGAAAATCCTATAAAAGTTAAAATCCGTCTACAGGACTTTTTTCCAGATGCCTACATCAAGTATATTAATCTTATGAGCAAAACTGTTCAGGTTTCCAAGTGAAATAAGTAGTGCAAACGGGAGAATTTCAGCAGGTGTTTGGATAACAAGCAACACCGGGAATTATTTCTGCTGCAGAACTACGAGGGGTACCTGGAAAGTAAGGTTACAAGGTTTTTTTAAAAAAAATGCAAAGAATGAATATATTTTAATAAAACTTACATGGATTATAGCATAGGTATTACATTATTTTTCCACATAATCACTATTCAGTTCAATACATTTTGTCATCCGTGCAACGAGTTTTTTGATGCCTGTGTCATAGAAGTCTCCCGCCACCTTTTTCAGCCAGTTCGTCACTTCAATTTTCACCACCTCCTACTCGCTGGAAAAGTGTTTTCCACCCAGGAG